ATTACTCAAACTGGACTGTATCAGAAGTAACAAAGGAAAAAAATCTGAAAATTAAGAAAAACTTGAAAAAAAAATTTATTGAACAAACTTCAAATGTGGTGATCTTTTTAAACTATATGGTCATTCATGTTACAAGTTTCCTCTCTTTCATTTCTACAACTGTTACTAAATTTAGTATGGTCCTCACTGGAATCAATTCCCTACAAAGGGAATAAAAATTCCCTACAAAGTGTTAAAAATTTAACACTGACAAAATTTCTGGCCCTTGAAGTCAAGTGTCTGATTTGGATGGAGTAGGAGCACGTCCAGAGCTTAAAACTCACAGATTTCCCAAAAGTTATGTAAAGTTGTAGGGCCTTCAGAATTCCACTTGGTATCTAAGAGCAGCTTCTTTTCTTGCTTTATGCAAAGTCATTTAAATCCTCATGATCCTGAACTGTCCCCATAAATGTGACAAGAATCGGAATGATCAGATAACTCTCTTCTTATTTGGAAAAGACCAAAGAAACTCCCTCTGGAGTCCTGGTCTGTTTTTCCTTCCCTAGAACAATTAGTTGCCCTGGGTTTTCACAGAAGGTCTTCCAGGGCAAGTCCCCGCTACTCAGGCAGGGATGAGCAGTGTAGGCTCAAGGTAAATTCCTAAGTTGTGCTGGTGTTTCCCCTAAGATACATGTGTAGAGAAAGTCTAGTCCCCCTCTGTATCACTTATAGGAAGCAGATAATTATACATCATCTATCCCAATCAGTATCTGAAAACAATTTTCTGCTATGGAAAGTGGAGGTAAGGGTGGGAGGTGATGACACTAGGTGTGAGGGGTGAGCAGGGAAGTGGGGAGGATAAAGACGATCCATTCTCATCTGGACCCCCTGAATAATGGTCAGGTAGGTACCCAAAGGAATTTTAAAAAGGATTATGGCCGGGCTGCGGTGGCTCAAGCCTGTAATCCCAGCACTTGAGAGGCCGAGGCGGGTGGATCACGAGGTCGAGAGATCAAGACCATCCTGGTCAACATGGTGAAACCCCGTCTCTACTAAAAATACAAAAAACTAGCTGGGCGTGGTGGCGCGTGCCTGTAATCCCAGCTACTTAGGAGGCTGAGGCAGAAGAATTGCCTGAGCCCAGGAGGAGGAGGTTGCGGTGAGCCGAGATCGCGCCATTGCACTCCAGCCTGGGTAACAAGATCGAAACTCTGTCTCCAAAAAAAAAAAAAAAAAAAAAAAAAGGATTATGATTTGACTTTATCATAGGAATGAATGTTCTGTAAAAGAAGACTTTTAATATTATAGGCTCATACAGTCCTAAAACTTTTAAAATACCTGATAACAAAATTTAAAAATAACATAAAAACATTCCTTTAAATTATCTTATTCTTCCTAACAACTTTAGCTCATATATATTTGCATATAACTTTCCTCATCCCCTGTAATATATTAATATCCAATGGGAAACCACGAACAACTAAAGATTCATGCAAAACATTGATGCCATTTACTATGTGCTAGTGTTGTCTTGTAGCAGGTTAATAAATGCATATCTGTCTCCTATTTTATAATCATGTTGACAGGACTTATCAATTACTTTAAAAATTATAAATGTCATTAACTTCTAACTAGAACCCAATTCAAAGTTATTTGCTGTCTGCTGTACTTAGAGGGGTGTGAATGAATAAACACTAATAAACTATAGATAATCTATTTTGATATTCTATCACCAATTGGTAACTCAGTGTCATAGGTAATCTGAGCATACCTAATCTGAGAAGACCATAGAGTAGGTGGCTTGTAAACAACAGAAATTTATTTCTCACAGTTCTGGAGGCTGGGAAGTCCAAAGTCAAGGTGCCAACAGATTTGATGTCTAGTGAGGGTTGCTCTCTCTTCTTCAAGACAGTGCCTCATTGCTATGGCATCACTAGGCAGAGGGGCAAGGTATCTCTCTCAGTCCTTTTTAATAAGGGCACTAATCCTATTCATGAGGACTCCACCTCATGACCTCCAACTTCCCCAAAATCCTAACTCTAAAGACCATCACAATGAGATCAGGATTTCAATGTGGAATTGCTGGGAGACACAAACACTCAGTTCATTCTACTCAGTTATCTTCATTTTCTAAAATTGTATCTTTGGCAGTACATAACACTAAGCTCCTCTTTCTGTAAGGCTCTTCGGGTTGTAAGCCCCAGACACAGTCAGGGAACCTAAAGTGAGGAAGGGTCACTGCAAGGACACCCAAGCCCTACACTGCAAATAGGACAGGAAAGCCATCCTGGGCAGGTCTAGAGGCAGCTGCTGCTGCCTCCACCTTGTGGGCCTTGAGGTCTCTTTCATGTTCTTACTTCTCTTTGTACATTCTCCTTTTGCCTTTCCTCTCCATCTGGCTTCCTTCTGCTTCCTCCTGGGTTCTGCCCCCTCCCACAACTTTGCCTAACAGGTGGTCATTATGGCATCTTCAGCCCCAGATGACATTTAGCAGTAGGTCCCTTAGGGAAGGAACCAGCAAATTCACTGCATTTCTTAGTTCAAACTTCTGAAAGGATCTGACCGATCCAGCTCATCTTTTCAATCCAGATACATGGGTAGCTAATTTTGTGGGTCATCTCTGGTGCCTTACTGGAAGCACCACCTGTGGGGTGATTCCTAACATCCTGTTTTGTTTTGAGATGGAGTCTTGCTCTGTTGCCAGGCTGGAACGCAGCCACGATCTTGGCTCACTGCAACCTCCACCTCCCAGGTTCAAGCAATTCTCCTGCCTTAGATTCCCAAGTAGCTGGGACTACAGACGTGTGCCACCATGCCCAGCTAATTTTTGTATTTTAGTAGAGATGGTGTTTCACAATGTTGGCCAGGATGATCGTGATCTCCTGATCTCGTGATCTGCCCACCTTGGCCTCCCCCTAGCATCCTGTTTTAAAGCTCCCCAACTGATTCTGATAGAGAAGCCAGGTTGAAATGCACTGCAATAGCCTAACTAAGGACTGACTATCCATGAGGCAGGTTCCCATTTCTGGTCCAACCATGAGGATACAGTAGACAGCGTGGTACAAAACACAACCAAAGCTTGAGTGGTTTCCTATTGCTGTTGTATCAAATTACCACAAACCTAATAGCTTAAAACAACACAAATTATTATCCTACAGTTCTGGATGTCAGAAGTCAGAAATGATTTTCACTGAGCTAAAACTAAGGTAGTGGCAGATCAGTATTCTTTCTGGGGACTTTAGGAAAGAATCAATTTCCTTGCCTTCTCCAGCTTCTCAACTCTGCCTGCATTCCTTGGCTTATGGCCCCTTCTTTCATCTTCAAAGCCAGAAATGGCAGTTGGGTCTTTCCCACATCACGTCACCCTGGCACTGATTATTCTACCTCCCTCCTTCCCTAACCAGATAATACTGAACCCAACCAGATAAACCAGGATAATGTCCTTCTCTTAAAGTCAGCTGACTAGCAACCTTAATTCCCTCTTGCATGTAACATAACACATCCATGGTTCCAAGAATAAGGACATGGGCATATGTGGAGGGGCTCTTACTGTTCTATTTACCACAAGGGCCATGTTGAACAAGGCATACCGTGTGGGCAGATTCACTTACAGGAGACTGTGGCCAAGCAAACAACATAAACACAACTAATACAACACTCTGCTGAATATTACAGCATGAGATACAGATTGATTATTAAAACTCTGACAGTATATGTTGGCTTTCATCATTTATACTTTGTGCCAACAGACATTACAGTCATAAAAACAAGAGACTAAAAGCATTCCTATAAAAATACAAACAGAAACATTTTTACCCTTCAATAATTTACAAGGAGTCTTCATGTAATTATGTGAATTTGTTATTTTATCAATAACCACTACCAAAAATCAATTGTAATTAGCTTAGATTCCAGAAAAAATTTATTTTAAAAAATATTTTATGTAATTTCCAGTTACTTTTGCCTTAACTAAAGATTACATATATTATTAAAAAATATATCAATAACAATATAGTATAACTCTATTAAAAGAAACCAATACTTACCTGCAGTGTTTCTTCAAAATAAATAAAAGTAGTTAACAAAAAAATTTGTTCTATGCTTGAGGCTACCAATATGGGACGTTTCATGGAAGATTTTCTAGTTATTAACAGAGTTTCTGAAAAATTTAACTGTGAAAATCTGTCACCAAAAATGCCACATAAACCATCTAAACTGAAAAGGAGTAGGATGAAGTGAGAAAACAAGATCATGAAATAAATGTAAAAGTTAAGGGGAAAATAGTGCAACTTCAAACAGCTTTGAAGGAAAAAGCATTTTCATGCATATTTGAGTCTTATAAAATGAAACAGTCTTTGGGTATTTAATATAATATTCAAAATTAGAATAAGAAGTCTTTTCTTCCTATGCTTGTATTTGCCATACATCTATGCATGTAAATATATACATGGTACCATATACATCTAATAATCAGGTGATCTGTTCACTTCAACTTGGAAGTCAGTAACTGCATTTTAACTTTTAGTAGGCTAAAATCAGCAAATGTATTGTTTGGCTTTATACTATGGTTCATTTGGGGTGTTATTCAACAAATATTTATTGAGTATGTACTATGTGCCAGGCATATCACAGGTGTTAACTAGTTTTCAATCTATTACACTTAAAAAACAAAACAATTGTTTCTATTCAAGTTTAACAAAATAAGTCACTAAAGTTAAAAAAAGAACTACCAATTATCTTCATTTTCAAAAGCTTTTAAAAGTTAACACTGTTTTAAATCTGCACATTTGATCTTATCTAATAATTTGTGAGTTGGTAACAGCATCATATCTTCATTGCCTAAAGTTAAATATCACAAGCCCAGTATGGGTGTCGTGGTCAATTTTACACTGGGAAATACAGAAGGAGAAAGAATCTTTTTCTTAAAGTTGCATTCTTTTCTTTGAACAATCACTTAACTATTAAAATGAATTTGCTAACAAAAAGTCAATGTCATTGGTAATCAGGAAAAGATGACTTACTCAGACTGCTCAGCTGGCGTATGATAGCGGCAAGAGTACTATTGGTCACACATTCAAGTTCACTGGTAATCCCTTCAGGCAGAGCTCCCCGGCACAAGTGCCGGGGCTCAATGTTCCTCTTCACTAAAGGCATGGCTCACAATCTGAAAATTAAAAAGACAGTCTTTATAAGCTCATATTCACAACTTAACAAATCTGGAATTTTAATTTCCTTGAAAATTGACTACTTTCCAGGCTATCCTAAAATTTCTATGTGACAGAATCAGCTAAAATGCAACAAATAGTGAATTACTTTAGTGAGTTTTATAGATCCCAAAGGTATGGGTATAGTATAATCTTACTTTTATAGAAAAACAACATATGCCATATTTCCAGTTAAGCATGACAGACCAAATACATGCATTTTTACCGACTTCCCTCTTTGATGAAATGAGGAGAGAGAGAAAAGGCAAAAGGCCACATGTACCAAGAGCAAGAGGGGACACAAAAACCACAAAGCTGTGGAACACTTACCCAGATCAGGAGACAGGAAAGACCATCACTATGACATCAGCCCAGCTGTCCCACAGAACTGATATTTATGGTTTCTCTGAATAAATATAGAAATTGACGTTCCCAGTCTTGAAACCTGAGCAAGTTACATTTCTCTTACCTGAACTGCTTTCTCAGGCAACCATCCATCAGGCCTCCCAGGTAATATTAAAAAATTAAAACTTACTAGATCATCTCATCCAGACCACGAGAAGTCAGGCTCCTCACCCATCGTGACTGCCTAAGACCACGTGTTTCCCGTTGACCAACTACTCTTCCTTATCTCTCCCTAATTCCTGTTTTCTCACATATGGTTATATTTCTTCCTGCTATATAAACCCCTAATTTATAAACTGATTATTCTAGTTAGAGAAAAATAAAAATAATTTTTAAAAACTCCTAATTTTAGTAAGTCAGGAGGATGGATTTGAGACTTACCTCCCAACTCCTCAGCTACAGCACCCAATCAAAGCTTTCTTCCCCGACAACACTCATTGTCTCAGTGATTGGCTTTTGGTGTGGCACACAACAGGCCCTAGACAAACCTCTGGCATTTGGGTGTGGCACGCAACAGGCCCTAGACAAACCTCTGGCATTTTGGTACACATAGGCTACTAACTGGGGGCAGCAGGTGAATTTCCCCATTTACTATACCAAGTAAGTAAGCCCACTTGAGCTACAGAACCTTCCCCCTCCCTACAAAAAGCTCAGGAGTAAGAGGCAATGGGTAAGTGCAAAATGGGAATTAAGGGGAGAGAAAACAGGAGGGGTGGCTTTTAAAACTCCATTTAAGAATGCCTTCTCCCTTCCTGGGCTGCTCCTTGTCCACCCAAGCCAGGATGTTTTATTCTCTGGGAAAGAAAGGTAAATTAGAGAATTTGAACTTGGGACTCTAGGCACAGCTAAAGGTAGGGGGAGGAAATACACTGGCAACAGGAATATTACAACAAAGTCTACACTGACTGGTGAGACAGTTCCCTGACACCCTGTTCTACTTGGCTCCTAGGACACAGGCAGCCTGGCTTTTACTCCCATCCAAAAAGACTGAAGCATTCCTTCTTGGGGAATGTCTGAAGAAAAAATATCTACAAAAACGAACACTGGGGAGGGAGGCTTTTCCCTGTTGAAACTGCCAGCCATGCAGTAACACCTGTCAAAATTCTCCCCGAGCACCCAGAGTGCACCAACTCTTAGTGCCTCAGACTTAAATAAGAGTCAAGGATCACCAGACACTTCAGGAGTCTTCCCCAACATCCTAGGAATCCCTTTCATCTCTCTCTTCAAAAAGATGATAGGCCAGGCACAGTGGCTCATGCCCGTAATGCTAACACTTTGAGAAGCCAAGGTGGGTGAATTACTTGAGGTCAGGAGTTTGAAACCAGCCTGGTTAATATGGTGAAAGCCCCATCTCTACTAAAAATATTTTAAAATTAGCCAGATGTGGTGGTGGACACCTGTAATCCCAGCTACTTGGGAGAGAGGCAGAAGAATCACTTGAACCTAGGAGGCAGAGGTTGCTATGAGCCAAGATCATGAGACACTGCACTCCAGCCTAGGTGACAGAGTGAGACTCTGTCTCAAAAAAAAAAAAAAAAAAAGATAAATAAAACATCAATTTTCTATTTAAGGAGTTTATATAATTTCAAACCTCCTAATCATATAACCAGCCTCATCTTCATACAATACTAGAAAATTCAATGACTGGAATATTTTCGTTTTGACAAGATTATTGATATAGTCTGGATGTTTGTCCCCTCCAAATCTCATGTTGAAATGTGATCTCAGGTATTGAAAGTAGGAAGCTTTTGAATCATGGGGGTGGATAGCTTGGTGCCATCCTCCCAGGGTTACTAATTCCAATAGATGGAAAAATATTTACCCAAGAGGGCCCTCTTCAAATGGAGCCCACACACCTATCACCTCCTCAATGGGGCTCTCAGACTCCCAGCCACTACCCAACTGCGAATCACGCCATGGCCAAATACTAGACAACTAGAAACAGTCCCCAAGCTGAGAACCCACTGAAATTATTCAAACCAGCCAATACTGAGTCTGCTTGCCCTGCTTTGTCCACTCCTTCCCACAGAAACCACAGTAAAAACTCTAACCCGCAGTTCCCCATCCCTATCTGCCTCCTGGTGGACCCTGGGCTTTCTACGTGGTCCTGCATGGTGCGGTGTGCCCCCTCCTCTTGGGAACTGTGAGTAACAAGCTATCTTTTCTATGGCAGTTGTCTCCTAATCTGTTGCCCTCACCACACCTCACATTTTCTATAAATATACTCTATTTTAGAACAACAGGGAGCTCTGAGTGGGATTCGGAAGGGACAACATGTCGGCACTTCATTCATTTCCCCATTTACCATCCTACCATCCCAAGCAAACTGTTAGAGTCTCTGTGCCTGGCAGAGGCAGGACTGACAGTTGTCTTCTTCTAGATGAACTATAAGCTGCTTGAATTTGGGACTGAGTCCATGAATTATGTGCTCCCCACAATGCCCTGAACAGTCCTCGGCAAACTGATTATTTAAAAATTGTTTACTGATTGTACATCCATAGACATTTACATATATATTTCTCTTTGGCCTTCTCTTGGGGTACTTCATATATTGTTGTTCCAGTACTTTAGCTTTGACTAATTAATCCCTAGCCTTCATTTCTCATGACCATTAAACCTTCTATTTGGAGCTCCTATGCTTGCATGAATGCAAAAGACAACAGAGAGAGGCCATGCTACCTGTCTACAATTTCAGAAAAGAGAGTTCTGCAGCTCTCCTTAAAAGTTCTAATCATGTAGAGTAATGATTTTTATGGCTTTAAAATTCAGTGTCAATTACCTGTCTTCGTCAGTTTAGTGGTGCTATAACAGAGTACCTGAGACTGGGTAGTTTATAAAGAAAAGAGGTTTATTTGGCTTATGATTCTGGGCAGCTGCACCTGGTAAGGGCCTCAGGCTGCTTCCACTCATGATGGAAAATAGAACAGTGAGTGTATGCAAAGAGATTACACGGTGAGAGAAGAAACAACAGAAACCAAGGAAGCCAGACTCTTTAAAAACTCATCTTCACAGGAAGTAATCCATTCCCACAAGAGTGAGAACTTACCCCATAGGGAAAGCACTAATCTATACATGAGGGACCCCACCTACTAGGCTACACCTCCCAACATCGCCACACAGCGGATCAAATTTCAGTATCAGTTCTGATGGAGACAAACCACATCCAAACCATTGCAGTACTCTAGCAAATGTATTTTTCCCCCAGACAGCTTTTATCTTCTCTAACACTAATTCAATTTTGAATAAATTGAAAAGCAAAGAAGAGTCAAAGGAAAAAATGTGGGGTCAGTGATTACCCTTGAAAATGCTTTGCAATTACAAAAACAAACATTTAATGAACTAATCCAGTTAGTCACCAAGAGAATACTCATACTCCTCTTGATTCCATTATTGGAAGAACTATGACCCATCTGAATCATTCTTCAAAGTCAGTCTGTCTGTGAAGAATAAAACAATGATTGCTAATGAAATGTTTAGGGACTATTAGAGGTTATATGAAATATTCGTGTTGGGTCTGTAGTCTGTCCAGCTTTTCTGGGAAATGTCTCAATTTAGAGAGAGACAACCTGGTTCACATAACTGTGAACTAGATTCCAGACACAGCTGAAACTGGGCCAGGGTCCTTTCCTAGGAATTTGGAGGTAGGACTATGCGATCCAGCTTGCTCTGGCTGCTCTCTCCAAGTATGGAAATGGATAACTCCCACCACATCAAATGGAGAATGGCAAAATTAGTCCACAGAGAGAAACCTGAATGAAATAACTAAAAAAGCTGGCAAAGATGAGTTAAAGACAAGGATTCCCCAACGGCTCTGCTGAATCTCCCTTACACCTCGCAGCAGACTAGGAGAGCTCGCTCACACCCAACCTCCACTCCTCCCCACTGCAAGGGTCAGGTTTGCACTATGGTTTGATGGCTCTTTCAGCCTCCCCAGCTTCTACCCCCTTTTTTTTCCACATAGGTGGCATCCTTAATCAAATCCCATAGTTGTGATCATCTTGGTGTCTGTTGCTCAGACCCAGACTAACCCAAGCAACCCTGAGAATGATCTGAGAAAGCAAGTAGTGAGATAGGGGATCTGGGACATGCTCACAGACCACCCTACAGGAGAGAAGGATGCCATCCTAACTGATAGGAGGGTAGTCCCTGGCACAAGTCATGGCTCAATTGCTAAAGGTTACACTGATGGTGACCTGGAAAATGTCCTCGTGAAGGGATACGCTTCATGTCCAATGCAATAATGCAGATTCGGCAGAAAAACACCAGAAAAACAGCAGAGCTGGCTAGTAACTGCTAAAGTCGTACTGATGCCCTATATAAGGATAATGGGAGACTGAACTGCAGTTAACAAGCAGTTAACAGCTAAGAGTGAGGGCAATAGGGCCTTCCTAGTGGGTACAAAGTGGTCTTCGCTACTACCTGAATTGGACAGGCAGACACAATGGAAAGCTGTGGGTTTCTAATTTCCAAGGTCCGATTATGAGTAAGAACTGGAAATGTTTAAATCTCAGCCAAGGCAAATGAAGTATGCAAGTCTGGGCTCTGAGAGAGAAAA